TAATATTCTTTGTATTTAACAAGTTAATCACATTTCACTTGGAAGGATTATTGAAGTCACAGGAATATTCTTTTACTTCTAGCTTGCTAAATTATTATAATTATTATTTATGTTACTACTCTTATTCTAGAAATAACTAATCTAAGGGGGAAATTTATAAATCTATATTTCTAAATCACAAGAAAAAATAATTTACCCTCTATTGTCTCTTGGAACATGAGACTCACTAGCCTTATTATTAATTAACTCTCAAATGAATCACCAAATGCCTATGCTCGTGCCTATTGCCATGCTCATTTCACACCACACTCTTCTGGATATTAAAATCTAAATAAATAATGTATAACTTCTTACAAATGATAGTTAATTTTTCAATACTGCCCACAGGTGTAATATTAGTCCATGTTTACTTAAATTATTTTTATTTAATAAGAAAAGCAAATTGTAATGAAATCTTTTCTAAATTTTACTAATTCATAATGGTCTTATTTTTATTTTGATATTCTAAAATGGCATTACTTTTGTACAAATGATTCATTTAAGGCTTACAAAATTCCTATGCTTAATTAATATCCTTTCAATTCCAAAAATCTTCATTGAGAATCTCTGGGCGAGATTGTATTGCTCTGGCTTGTAGTACTGTAGTCTCAATTAATATTTTTCTTTCCAAAAAATTGATAGGCATTACAGAAAATGAAATCAATTTTGGACAGAAACACATTCGTTTCAGAAATGTATCTCTCTTTTGCATCTGGCTATTGAATTCTCCTTAATGCATTTTTTATGGTAATTAACAAAACTTTCATCTCCAGTAAAGATTTGTTTTTCATCATAAATTCATACATTTAAAAGGTTCATGAAGGTGCTCGCTCTATTACGCCAGTAATTGTTCTTTTGAAGAGTGCATCGTCACAGAACTTAAGTTCATAAGTTCTCTTCAAATCACATTTATGTAATATCTGTGTAACACAGGTGACAATTGTTTTGCAACTATCAATGTACCATTCGCTCTTCCCTGCTACATCTACTGTGATTTACTTGTTTGAATGAATGCAGATCAAATTCCTTTTATCATTAATTCTACTATCAAGTAGTGAAAATCTACAAATACACTCGGCACGTTTTTGTCTTCCCTCTCTCTGCATTGGTAGACATCATGCTCCGAAACTGTAGGGTTAAGATGATTTCATAAGTTACGACAGCTAATAAAATATTCAAATGACAGATAATTTTAGGGTTGATGATGAATATCTTGAACAGCAGCACTTTTGGGGAACAACTACACCAGTTTAATATCATAGATTTAATGTTGAGTCTGTGATGAACATACCTAATATGTCATGGTTATTTCATAGAAGACAAACACCATTGTATCGCATTCTGTGTCCAGATATAAATGCCATTTTTAAGAAGTGCACAATTTTTTCCAGTTTTCTGGGTTTCATTCTCTGCTGGCTGCAGTTATTTGGTTTAAATCAAGATATGAATGAAATTTGTAAACTATTTCACAATGTAATTATCACATACACACTTCAATAACTACAATAATTGAATATTGCAGTGTGTAGTTTTGAACAAAATTCACCCAAATCATCACATACGTATATGTAATTTTAATCACATATGTATACTGAGACATTTCATAACTGCAAGGTTTTCCCTACCTACTAAAAACTATTCCTACACTATGACACACAATCTAGATCCTGTGTTTCCAATCTTCTAATATTAATCCAATACAGATAATGAATATTGTCTAACAATTTAGTCAAAAAGAATAATTAAAAGGCAAAATTATTACCCAATTATTTTATGCATTCTAATCTCTTTTATGAGCAAAGTAAAATAAAATACATTGAAACTCATTAGTATTGAATATTTTTGTGGATTTTATTTCACTATTATGTATTAACATGTTTTTTATTCTCTACCTACCCTCTGAAAAGTGCAGGAACAAAAAGCAGCTGAGAGTTGACTATGTTGTGACGTTCTGAACTCTAGGCTTCATGCAGTCATTAAAAAACGTGGAACAACATCACAACCTGACTTGTTGCCATTTAAGAACAGAAGTCTCAACCACACCTGAAATAAAGACTTTGCAATGTGAAACTTCCCACAAAATATTATAGTGTGCTTTGTTGTTAGTTTCATATTAGTTCTATTTTGATGGCCAGAACAATTAATATGATATACTATATTTGCACCTCTCTATAATCAGTTTATCTTCTGAAACTGATTATAGATTTTAAGTACCATTCTCTTATAATTTGGCACGTGACAATGAATTCGGACAGTAGTCGAGTCATTTATTTGAAAAACTCCTCACTCCATATGTGGATTCTAACCTTGCTCACTTGATACATAGGCAGCACACTAGCACAATCTGCCAACATGGGAAGGTACCGCTGGACCATCTTCCCTTCCGTTGCCCTTTGCGCCGCTTCCACCTTCCGTTTCGTTCTCGCCAGGACTGCAGTGAACCCCCCAGGACGCACCTGGCCTGGCAGTGGCCTCCACGGGCGATCCCAATTGCATGGCTCGTCTCTCTTTCCTTCAGTCATCGAAATCGCCACCTCCCGCGTGCATCGAGGCGTTCGAATAGAGATACCATATTGGAGACGAATTGCACCAATTAGGCGGAAAATGCCTGGGCTCCCTAGAATAAAACCTATATTTCCAATAATCGAATAAAAACGCCGAATTTTAAGTACCGCTAGGCGTGCGTAAAGTTATTATTTTCTTTAAAAAATTGTCATTTTTCTTCTTGAACTAAGCTCGCATATCTTTTCCCCAAATCTGTCCAAAATCCACACGTAATGAATAAAGGTTTTATACCCTCCTGAATATAATAAGCAACGTGTGAACGTTCTGACGGCGGCATTAGCCGAATTGCTGAACTGCGCTCCGTGACGTCACAGAAGTTACGCAATTCGAGATAGCACGGATTCCCGGACGGGTGACTGTCAGGGGAGCCTAGTAACTATCGGCGCCGAGCCCCTGGCCGAAGTGATGGAAGGCATCGACCGACTGCGACGTGACGACGCAGACGACACGTACCGTAAAAGAGGATTAGTCAAAATTATACACCCTCAATGCCCAAAAAGGGCTACATACGAGTAGGTGTGTAGCATAAACGACGCAACGAAATGAAAAACAGATGAAACATGCTTCAAAAAGCAACATGCGCACGAGCAGCCGGTGCCGGAGAGAGGCCAGCGCACAACTTCACTTCGATGGAAGTGGCCGATGACATGGATTACGTCATTGTTACTACTCCTGCCTTACAAAAGGAATACTTTTACTTCATTCGCGAACGTCCTCGACGGGGTTCGTGACGTCAGAACTGCGCTCACCGCTGCTAAAGAGTTTCAAGTCTTAAGATAATCACCGGCCGGCGTAGGAAAGCCGGAGCGCACGCCAGCGAGAACGCCCCGGTCGCCTGGGCTGTTGGGCCGCCACTCGCTGCCGCTCTGTGTCTTATTAGTTCTTTCGCGTGTGGATTTATTAACACACATGCAGTTTATTTTCAAGCTGAAGGGTCGGGACGGGGAAGCAGGAACGTCAAATTACTTAAATCCAACTTCTTTCTCCTTTTTTAACTTTTTTGTACCCCAGCACGTCATAACTTTCAAGGCAAACTAGTCACGACTAACCTGTTTTTCTGGTCCGTTTCGCATGTCGTAAGACAAACGTTTTTTCGTCTGTGACTGAATAACAAGCAAAAAAACTTCTTACCTGCTTTCCCCCCGACCCTTCAATTTAGGGTTAAACTGTCGGAGAGCCCCTTTAAATAATCAATTTCCATAGAGCGGGTGCGAGAAGAGCGTCAGCGGGCGAGGCGGCGCAGCTGCGCGGCCATGGCGGCGACGATGGCGCGCGCGGCGGCGGCGGCGGCAGCCACGCGCAGCGGCAGGCGGCGCACGGCGTCGGGGCCGGCGTCGGGGGCGAGCGCGTGCGCGTGCGACGGCGGCAGCAGCAGCCACTCGTGGTCGCCGCGCACCGCGTAGTGCAGCGCCGTGCGCCCGTCGCGGTCCGCCGCGTGCACCAGCTCGGGCCCGCCCGCCGCCAGCAGCGCGCGCACGCACTCCACGTGCCTGCACACACGCGCACGCGCACAAGCCGTGCCTTCACGACTGCTAGCGGGCTTCTCCCCAACCACGCACCTCCCACAGCCCGGGCAAGCTCTCAGCTCCCCACCGGTCTCCCGGCATACGTGGTGGTGCACTGTGTGTGTAAGGGTAAGACAGAGGAAGATGACATGAGATATTAGGTTTGTGCTCCGGCGTTCGCCTGGTGTTGATCGGAGGACTCAAGTTGCTCGGGGCGACGCTCAGCAGCGCTGCGAGTGGCCGAGCGTTGCGTTACACGGGTGCAACAGCAGCGACGTAGGCACAAAGCCTGGCTCATGAGCCCCACCTGCCTTGGAGGCAGTCCAGATGCGCACTGCGATATCATTGCATTCATTTAGAGCACAAATTACGCGAAAGCTACTTTTTTTTTAAATTGTACCTAACCTTTTTTCATCAGCTCATTTTTTTAGAAAAAAATTGTTCTCCAATTTTGTAGCAGTTTCTGAAAATAAATTCTGAAGCAGTTTTTTTTTTAATAATAGTTTAAAATTTGCCTATACTTCACGTAAAATTAACCGAAATGAGTAGTTATACTCACATTTTAAAAAAAACGACCTTATTTCAAGATCTATCTTTAAAGAACATATTATTTAGGGATCAAAATTTCCATTTTCAATTTGAAGTTGTAGGAAGGCGCCGAAAAACTGAACTTATGCGATTTAAAAAAAAGTCAGGGACTGCAAAGCATCCCTTACGCCAACCGAAGACTAATTTAAATTTGAGAAACGAGCCATTTTTTAAAAAACTGAAAATTCTATTGACGCTTCGTGTAAAGTGCCCCCCAAAATCAAAATACCCGCATCAAACTCAGAGGTTCCTTTAAATTGATCGACGAATATCAATTTTGGAGGAAAATGGCTCAATATCCGTAGTTTTGGCGCTAGCTTTGACCACAAACGGACAAACGTTTTGTCGTTAATCGATTTTTCGGTATCAAGGACCCATAAAACATGGATATTATCGTTCCTCGTTTAACGCAGCCGATTGTGTGTTCCCAGTGGTTGTTTTCAAGCCCGACAAAGAGAAAGTAGAGTGCGCTGGCTCACCCCCACTGCGAGGCGTAGTGCAGCGGCGTGCAGCCGGCGTCGTCGGCGCGCGCCGGGTCCCAGCCCGCCGCCAGCAGCAGCTCCGCCACCGCCAGCTGCCCGTGCTCCGACGCCACGTGCAGCGCCGTGCGCAGCGCCACGTCCTGCGCACACACACACGCGCGCTCGCGCTCGCCCGCGCCACAAGCGCAGGCGCAGCCGCCGCGTGCCTACCTGCCTGTCGCGCAGCACGCCCCGGCGCAGCAGCGCGCGCGCCAGCTCCTCGTGCCCGTGCTCCGCCGCGCGGTGCAGCGCCGTGAAGCCCTCGTGGTCGCACGCGTCGGGGTCCACGCCCGCCGCCAGCAGCACCTCCACCTTCACCGCGCACACGCGTCGCAAAACTTTAACGTGCACCCAATCGCTATGCATGTTTTAAAGCGAAATTAAAATCTACTAATCTATCTTGAATAGCGAGTAAGAGAGAGTGCTTGCAAAAAACTGGCAAGTGGTGAGAAAAGGAGCTCGCACTATGCGGACTGACCGAGTGCATTGCGCTGGCGCTGGCGGCGCAGTGGGCCGCAAGAGCTTGCGTCTCGGCGAAGGGGCCTCGAGCCCACGGAGTGGGCCTGCAGCAGCACTCGCGCCGCCCGCCTCCGCAAGCCCACGGCCGCCAGCGCGCCGCGCAGCGCGCCCCACGCAGCCCGCCCCCGCCCGCCCTCCGCCGCCGCCCGCCGCCAGCAGCACGCGCAGCGCGCCCACGTGCCCCGCCGCCGCCCGGCTGCCACAAGCGCCGTCGCGCAAGCCATCTGTTACTCAGGGGGCATCATATGCCCACTTCGCCACCACACGTACTGCATCAGCAACCTCGCCTACCCGGATCGACACATACGGCGGTTCTTCGGCAGAACAAAATTCATTACCGGGCCATAGATAACGAAAAAGCGAAGAAATCTAGTTGCTATTTTAAGAAAGAAAAAATAACCCTTAGCACATGGCTGTAGCCCCGAATCCCTGTTTTGTGGGTCCTTCATCACTGAAAAACCAATTTACAGCAAAACGTCCGTCCTTCTGTTGCCACCAGCCGCCTACGATTCGCTAGGATTTTTTCCAAATTGAAGAAACACCTGTCCATCTGACTTCAATCAAAGCTTTGCGATTTTCAAAACATTCATTAATTGGGGGGGGTAAGCATACAGCGAAATGCCACTTCTAAAGATGGTATCGGTCTGTTTTTCACTATTAACTCTCATCCGAAATAAATGCAAAAGTTTTGTAAGCAATAACCAACACAACATTTCACAAGCAACAACTCACAAAACGTTTTTTTAATGCTAATTATATCTCACGTCCATATTTACATTAGCAATGATTTGTTTACATTATTGCATTTATAATGCATTGTGCTGTAAATAATGTCTAACACAGTTTCTCTAGAGCTCAAACGTTTTTCGGCGAAAACGAGCTCAAAAATTCCAGAATTTCAGAAACACTCAACGCCATTTCTCAAAAGGGCTTTAAATGGTTTCATCAAACTTGTCACGCGAATAGTGCTGATTACACTGTTTAAGACGCCATGGAATTCGTCGCTTGAAAGCTACGGCGCGGTGCAAGCATGGATAATAAAAATAATAAACAAAACCGAGCGACGTGGCTCAGTGGATGGGCGCGCTGGATTCGCAAGCGGGAAGCCCGGGTTCGATCCCCAAAGCAGCAATCCTGATCGGGGTTTTCGTGATTTGCTCGGCTACATAGGCGAATTCTGGATGGTTACAAAAAGCCACGAACACCTCCCAACTCCAACTATCATACTAGTCCTTGCACCCTTCTTAACCATACAAACAAACAATAATAATAACAACAACAACAATAATAATAATAATAATAATAATAATAATATAAATGTATCCCCCAAAATTTATATTCATAGGCTAATAACGTCATTCACTCAAGAGATGCGCAGCCGAAAAGCTTATCCCCTTAAATCTTACATATGTTCTGGGATAGAATGCAATTTGATATATGAATAACTAGTTTTTGGAACATTACTGAAGGGCGTGGGAACCATATTTTCATCAAACGCCGATGTGATATAAACTACTACACTCGACATAGTAATAATATTCAAAGAGGTAACAGTACCAACAGCCACTACCAAAATTGCATTAATATCAACACACGTCCATTACATAGGACAATTAAAGGATTCCGGTTGGGAGAGAAATTGTAGAAGGGAGCCAAGCACCTGCAGCGGTGCGCGACAGGGCGTTCGGGCGCGAGGGCGCTGGCGCCGGCGGCCCACCAGCTCGTGCAGCGCCCGCCACGTCGCCCGCGCTGGCGCCGCGCAGGCAGGGCGGCTCGCCGCGGCCACGGGCTCCGCGCCGCCCAGCGCGCGCCGCCACCGCCGCAGCGCCGCCCCCTGCCAGCCCCCGCCCCCGCGCACCACCGCCTGCAGGGCGGCGCGCTGCAGCGGCACCTCCATCCCCTTCACAGCGCACACTGAAACGGAAGCACCAATCACACAGCAGCACAAAACAAACAGAGTGCGTTTCAGACTGTGTTCACCTACTTTGGGCTTATGGCATTCCATTACCGTTATGTACTCAACTAGTTAGCCGTCTATTTTGACGCGAGTAGCGCAATCGAAGTAGTGGCGAATAAAATAATTACGTTCGACGTTTATTTGGAAGAGACATGTGTTTATTCGTGTTTATTAAATAAAGGACATGAGGCACTAATACAATAGCTCATATATACACACATACTAATCGATAGGAAAATGGAGCAAAAAGCTAGAAACCACGAAGAAAGGATCTTTTCACCATGCTAGAAACGAATCGACAATCGACCAAGCTTCAAAAGCCTGAAATCTGACTGGCTCAGGCGAAACTTACGTTCGTCATTGAGAAAGCACAGTTTACGCGTAAATTCCAATGTTACGTTAACCACTTTACGCTGCGTTTAAGTTTGCTTTGTGAATGAGGCCTCACATTGCGAATAAGCAGAAGACGCGATCATAGTGAACACAAATTCCAACGGGCAGCTTTCAAAAATATCCCCGACCAATCGTCGTAATGGAAGAAGTCTCCTTTCAAGTGGAGGTAGCCTTCCCGGAATAAGGACCTTACTGATGTCCTTACACCAGTCAGTGTCACTGTGGAAACGAAGGCCGTGCCCTGCGTAGGCTATTAGTACGAATATTGCCTTCTATGTTTCGGGATTTGGCAACCCTGGTGTTGCAATCTGGCAACTGACAGCTCTATCGTAAAGTTGGATGTTTTGAGGTTATACGTACTCAGAACGTTTTGACATACGAGCGCTATTTGTGTTGTTTACAGTACCTTAAAAGAGTCATCTCGGCCCAAAAATGGAATTAAATAGTGAACATTTTCGTGCGATTATTTTTTACAACTTTCGACGTGGATTAACTCGGCAATAGTTCACGGATGAACTTAATTCAATTTTTGGCGATGAAGCTCCATCAAGGACCAGTGTTTATAGATGCTATGGTGAATTCAATCGTGGTCGTGGTTTACTCCAAGGCGAATTTCGCCAAGGTCGTCCAAAATAAGTTGTTGTTCCGAAAACCATTGATGCTGGGCGTGAACTGATATTGCAAGATCGTCATGTGACCTATCGTGAGATTGAGACAACCTTAGGCATTAGTGGGACCAGCATACATTCAATATTGCATGAACATTTGACTGTCAAAACAATTTGTTCGCGTTGGATCCCACACAATTTGCCAATCGCTTAAAAAAAGGCTCGTGTCGATTGGTGGAAAGAAATGCTCAAAAAATACGACGCGGTGCTTCGAAACACGTCTATGACATCGTGACAGGTGATGAATCATGGATTTACGCGTACGAGCCCGAAAGTAAACAGCAGTCGACTGTATGGGTGTTTCAAGATGGGCAAAATCCAACAAAAGTTGTTCGCGCACAAAGCACTTCCAAACAGATGGTCGCCTGTTTTTTTTTTTTTTTTTTTTTTTTTTCAGAAAAACTGGACATGTCGCAACCGTACTACTAGAACAGTCAATTCCGAGTGGTACACAACGATTCGTTTGCCAGCTGTCTTCCAAGAAATCAGGAAAACAACCGCCGAAGACGGGTCACTCTTCACCACGAGAAAGCGAGCACATAGCGAGCACACATAGGCTCAAACAACTACATTTTTGAGCACCCAAAACATCGATTTGATGAGTCATCCGCCATATAGTTCTAACTTGGCACCGAATGACTTCTTTTTATTTCCGTACGTAAAAAAACAAACTGAAAGGCAACGTTTTTCGACACCTGAAGAGGCGGTTGCTGCATTCAGAATGCATGTTTTGTATTTCAAATGTCCTCCTTTTAGTACATTTTTAACATGTCATTTATTTTATCACGTGTCTAACATCTGCTACGTTATATCGTTTATTGTTTAGTGTTTAGTTTAGAATTGAAAACATGAAAATCCATTTTGTGAATGCACGCGACAAAATAAAAAAGACGCTCAAATCATTTTCATGTGCATTTTGTGAATGACTTTTCACTTCAATCGTAAAAGGAGAGCAACAATAAATAGAGATGATGTTGGCGTAAATAAAATATTGATAACCAGAAATGTGTGAAATGTGCTACTGTGTTTTGTGGTTTTGTTGTTTTTGCTTATTGATTGTCCTCCCTTTTACATGAACTTTCTCCGCTAGTAAAAGACGCATTATGCTCTGCAAATCTTACTGGAAATAATCACGACTCTCTTTATTGAAGTAATGTGGTTGACAATACCTGTAACTCTAGTTGTCGAACTTCACCCTTGTGTTCAGCTACCGTGACTAATCCGTGACGTTCAGTTATCCCAACTTCCAAGTTTTTTTTTTTTTTTTTTACAAATGTGAAGACACCAGATTTAGGAATGTTGTAAGGACCTGAAACAATTGGATAAATAATACACATAAAATTGCAATTCGATTTACGATCAAACTAAGATCAAAATTTAAAATGGATAGAAAATAAGCCCTGAGTAAATATTGTATTATTTTCCTTTAAAACTAGCGAGTGTCATTCGAAAACGAAGCTTCGAAATTCATTACACAAATATAACATATACAGTCGACTACGGCTATAGTGAACCGAAGTCACTGGTCCCGTTTCACAAAGCATAAGATTCGGCTATAGTGAACGAAAGGACATGCAACGTTCTGGGAATTAATTTCCTCCTAGAATACATCGCCTCAGTGCCACAAAGGCCAACACTGACCATTGGCCAGCTTCAAAAAATATCGCCAGCGAAAGGTCATAATCGAAAATGCCCCCCCCCCCTACTTGAGTAAAAGGTGGCGGACATACAATGGGTTCCTTAATGATTTTGATGACTTAAACCATTGCCAAAAATGATCAATAAAATGTTCTTAGGATGTTTTAAAAATGCCCCCGCAACAAAGAAAAATGGCGTAAGAAATTGATCAAAACCACTTCCGATGAACTCCAGCTGTTGGGTATGTTACTGATGTAATCGAGGCTTCTTCCTTTCGTTCAAGTGAACTCAGCTTGCAAACTTTCGTTTTGTACTGTTCTTTAAAAGAAAATCCCTGTCTTTATTTATCCCGAAATCTGCCGAAAATGAAAATGGAGCTGATAGGTGTTGCAGGAACCTTACATCATATATTTCTCACAACGGCTGACATTACAATATACGAGCGATGAAATGGAATAGGCTACTCAGGAATTCTGTGGTGGACATTTGTTACACCTCGTAAATATTGTTTGAAGCAAGAACCATTAAAGTATTATAAAGGATAAAAAAATAAGCGAAAAATGGATTACAAATGAAGTAAAAAGATGACTTATTGCGAGAAATCGATGAATAATGCAAAAAAAAAAAAAAAAAAAAAAGCCTATATAATGGTTAATTTACCTCTTGTCATAACATAAAATGATTTTCTCTACTAAACGGCATTGCCTTGAAGTGACATTTCATTAAAATCAGCTCCCTACTGAGTCCTTGCGCCACTCAGTGTCACTGCGGTCGCGAAGGGCTAGCAGCGGCGGAGGCGACGCGCGCGATTCTTTGGTTCGGTTTCGAGCTGGACAGGCGGCGGTTGCGTTGCTACGTAGGCGACAGAAGCGCGCGCCTGCCACAAGCCCCCCCCAGTTCCATTAGCCTCTCGCGCCATGCCGCCATCGAAAGGATCTTGTGTTATTAGACTAGTAAAAGGACCGACGGAGAGTGGGGGCTCCAACAGTGTAAAAGGCGTTGAAGGGTCAAGACTGCACTAAGATAGACACTGAAGACAATGCACATCATGTACGGAGAAAGGATCAAGAGAAATGACTAATGAAAAATGTACGAAGCAAACAATTGAAAATAAAGATTTTTTATGGGCAAATAAAGATATTGAAATGTTCAGTTCGTGCTGTTAATGTATGTAGCTGTATCTTTATATTAATAAAATCAATCGTTGTGGAGAAATTATACTTTGACATCATCGGATATAGTGAACCAAAAATGACAGTCCCTAGAAGTTCCCTATAACCAGATTCGACTTTCTATCGCAGATTGAAAACTTTCCGAAATATATTGCACTGACCGTGAAACAATTACTATTTTTTTCAGCGTTTGGTAACTTTCCGCTGTTTTAGTATCTGCTAAAATCGACCGTCTAAGATATGGGTGAGATATTGCACATCGTATTCTACTTCGGCCAATGAGCTTCAGGCACCAGTTTCCGCCAGAATATTAACTGGGATTTTAAATATGGCCAGATGCCAAAATTATCACTTTGATACTAATATTGATTGAAATATATAAAGTATTTTTTTTTAAATATTTTCTTTAACACCTTCATCGTGTTATTACTTTTTCACTGTTGCTTACTCAGTATAGAGAAAGTTATGTAACGCTGCACGAAAAATCTGTGAATGTTTGCAAAAAACTCTTATTGCCGGGCCGAAAAAGTGGAAAACTCCAGCTACTAAATTTAGATAAAATCCCTCTAGCACGTGGTGTAGCCACAATCCCTGTTTTGCGGTTCCTTGATGCCGAAAAACGATCGACGAAAAAACCTCTGTCTGTCCGTCTGTGAACAACACTAGCGCATAAACCGTTCAGCACATTTACTCCAAAATTGATATTCCCCTAATCCATCTGGTGGTATCTTCCTCTTGACATTGTAATGTCATGCATCCTCCTGAATTTGAAACCGATATTGTAATTGAGGATGTGTGTGAGTGTGTGTGTGTGTGTGTGGGGGGGGGGTACTTTACATGAAGCTCCTAGGAAAATTTCATTAAAAAAACTGGCACAAATTTTTTCATTAAATTTTGTTGATTTTAATATAATATGACAGAAAAATGCAGCGATAGATATTTGAGTTTGATGTTCTGTACGTTTAATACAAATATTCAACGTATATGTGTATGTGTGTGTGTGTGTGTGTGTATATATATATATATATATATATATATATATATATATATATATATATATATATATATATATATATGCGTAGCATAGCCAACGAACTATAAACATTTAGGCGCCGTGCTGCTGGATGCTAAACGAGAATTGTATTATCGAGATACGGCAAGGCCTGGCGCCATTAACATGGAATTGATTACTGGAGGGCGTTGAAAATTTATCTTTGGCATAAAGAAGCGAATTCTCACTCTCACGAAAGCGGCCAAGCAGTTCACATGCATGGTGCAGCTAAGCAGTATTGTTAATTTGAGTCCAAAGTGGACAAATGTTTGCGTTGCTTTAATAATAGTTAATTTGTTGTGCATGAATTTTGCATTTAAAAATATATAAACTTGGTGGTCATGGAATTTTATGTTTCGTAGTGGTAATTATAAATTATTAATTTTAAGGAAATAGTAGTCGCAAATAGAGGTTTCACCCGAAGCCTAGTGAGGGAAAGTCGCGACGCGATATTAGAGCAAATGTAGGGATTTTCCGATTTGCGGACTGTATAGTTAGCAACAGTCGGGTAACATTCAAAGTTTACAATGACAGTAAACTCATAATTTACACCACAGTATGGCCCAGGACATCCCCTTTTGGAGAAGATGGCGGCATCATAGCAACCGAGAAGAAGCATACGAACTTTATCAAAGCCGTGCGGATGAATAAGTCCACAGAATCATAAATTAATAACGAGCTCGACACTTGTTACTACCATTTAACAATAAATGTTATGCGTTGTTTGAAAATAAAAGGCTGATATATCATTGAATTGCCTGCCATCAATTCAGTAAGTAGTAAATTCCACAGAAGGTCCAGGAATCGTGATTTCTGTAGTCACACGTCCACGTGCAGCAGGTAAGGTGACGCTTGATGTACGTCGAACTCGAGCAAGATCTTAATAGGAAAAACAGAGCTAGCCAAATTATGAATTCTTAGAGAATTAAATTACGAACATGGCAGGGCAAATTAAATCAGAAAATCATAAAGACGTTACAAATGGTTACCCTGCTTGGAGAGTGATAAAATACGTTGAGTTGAAGATAGTTGATGAAATAGAAAGAGAGAAGCCTCGTTGCATATTGCCATGCCCAATGCCAACGATTACATTTCTCAACCTGTCACCCCTTTACCGCTTCCCTATCAGGAAATTTAAATGCGGACGTATATTCTCTTTCACAACCAAAAACACCACAAGGACCCATTTCAATAAACGAAAAACTATTCCAACTAATGCACTTGAAATACGATCGCTACGTAAGTATACACTTCCGAGGGAAAATGGATATAATATTCTCTTAATATTCCACTCCTATACCTCTTTATTCACTAAAATTAATCACTAAAAGTTAATATTCACAAATATTCGACAAAATGTTATAAAACAAAATATTTAGGGAACATTTCAGTGATCGCGGTGGTTTATTTTTCGTTTCCGTGTAAATGACATTTTTTATAGTCTTTAATTAAAAAAGATCATTTTTGAGTTTTCAGTTGTTTAGTTAATTTAATTCTTGGCCCCAAAACATCCTCATTGAAGCCTTGCTTTGCGAATATCGAGGAGAATTGTAATACTTTCCAGTGTGGAGTTTTCCCAGGCAAAATTGCCACAGTTTTTGAGAAAACGTGGTTCAAAAGTTTTTGCAAATACGTCATTTTTACTTCCCATGTACTTTTGAAAAATCATCATTAGAGATAATTTGAAACTTGTGTTAAAACAATGAAATACATCCATAATGTAAACTTCAACGACGTGATTTTTTTAAATTCATCCGTATAATATTAGACAAATTAAAGGAATACACCAAAATGGAATTTATATCACGTTATTCAGTACATTAATACAACCCGTACAAAGAGTTAAATGAAAAAATTGAGAAAATCTTGTTTTTATTTTGCCTATATTTCGCTTGAAATTACGTGGAAATTACTAATGTTATCGAAACAATTAATCTAACATGAATTAAAAAAACTAATTGTGAAGAAAAAAATTCCATTTAAAGAAAAAACCTGTATCTTAGTAATGTGGTTGTACCAAGAGTGCAAAAAATCCAAACTTTTGTACATTTGGAAATTGATGCGATTGCGATTGCGATTAGTGATGTTCAAGGATGGACAGTCACAGTGACCATAATTTTGAAAAAGAAATCCCTTTTTCAGTATTAAGAAGCCACACAAGTTGAATTCTGACTATACTACATATTAGAGAAAGTAATTTACTACATAAAAGAGCAAAAAATCCTCTTTTATGAAATCAGGAAGACACAAAACAAGGTTTTTGGATAGCAAATTCAAAGAACATAAGCACAAAATTTTGTAAAATCAAATTTGTTTTGCAATTTTGCTATATTCTATGCATTTGTTTCTTTATTACCCAAACATTAACGAAAATGTACATAATTGGTAAAAATTATATGAGTTTAAAATCTCAAAATGTGGGGATGGAGATAATCCAAGGATGCATTATGTTCTTACGGAGTGTATTATAATTTGACTTTCCAAATGATAAAAAACCTATTTTGTATCAACTAAATGTTAAAAGTACTATCCCCTCCCCCCCCAAAAAAATACTGGTTGGGGTATTTTAAATAATCCCAGAGTTTTTTCATTCCTGCAAGTTATCGAAATTTAGTAATGGATAAATCTATCATTGCATGAGTAACTGATTATTAATAACACCTGCAGTACAATTTAAGTGTTAATTTCATTAAGAATGCTCTTCAATCACTAGATTGAAATAAAATATATCCCTAACATAATAAAACAATATAAGTAAAAATGTCTTAAGCTGTTCATCTATTTATTTATTTCCCTATTTTAATTTAAGGTGGTGTTCTGGAGAAAATTTTTAAACTCATTACCTGATGTACATGCTTAGGATACACTTAGGAATCAAAAAAATAAATATTTTATGTATACTTCATGTAAGAATGAAAACTAAATTGATTTGGTTGAAAAAACTAGTATTCACAACAAGTTTCATCCCTGTTGCTTCTCATCATTCAGGCCAGTACAATAGTTATCACTACAATATAAGCAACACACGAAAAATCAAACTTAAAACTTCAGTTAACAAAGCAGCAATGAGCTACAAAGATTAACTAAACAAAAGAATACCACCTGCACAATGAATGTATGGGAGCAGATCACTGCAAACATACAGTTTGATGGATCAATGTCTCCAATACAATCTCTTCTTTTCTTTTCTTCTGCATTCTATTGACATATATTGGATCTTCTAGAAGTTATTAGGATCCACGGAACTCTAAAGAAGACCACCAGCGAAGAAATGGAAAAATGGCATTGCATTCTTCTCTCCAACTCGCCAATTGTGCTTCAAAGAAAACAATTTTTAAAGAAATAGACTTAATCCTGCATTGAATATGCAAGTACACATTTTTATGAATTCCTTTGAACTTCATTAAATGATGTAAATAGTGATAATTAGTGTAGAGCAATAATATCAATGTTAATTTCCACATTCTAATCTTTCTACACACTAGGCATCTCTGCTGAATTTTTAAGTAATTAAATTTGTTGAAAATGAAATTGATAACTTTTCTTTTCAGCACTCATGGAGGTCATAAATAAACAAGCTTCATTACAAAAACCACTTAAAATATGTTCAGCACTAACTCATTTATTTTAAGCTTTCAAAAAATACCAAGTTCTCCGTCTAAAAGTATTCCCTATAAATTCTTTTAAATGAAAATAATTTAAAACCTGTGAGAAATTTCCTCATAAGCTAATGTAGATAAAGTGATGGAACGTCTACTTTTGGATGAGTTGTTGTGTCAATACTTTCCTCCCACTCATTCATTAGTTCGAGGCATCTGGCAGCCCTCTATGAGATTTCGCAATGCCCTGCAGAGTGTTAGAGGACCCAGATGTTTATGTTGTCACTTTTTTTCTTTGTGTTATTTTCATTGCAAATGTACGATAAGCATGATTTTTATCAACAATGACTAAAATTATGCAATTTTCACATGCCATATAGTAATATTCTGGCTCTTTTTAACTCTTAGGTAATTTTCTGTTAATTTTTCGTATTATGGTTATATTGTTCCATGAATTTTCGTATTTTTTTTTATTCCATTTTCACACACTTGCTTGCAGCCCTCTCAAAGAGATTTTTCATATATCTTAATTGTTATATAATTTCTTACAATTGTTATATCTAAATGTTGTCCATCATTCCTATAAATATATATGTATGTGAATTGGGATGGTAAGCTATATAGAAGAAGAAATATAATGCGTAGAAAGCACCAGATGCGAAGGAAGTGTTAGTTTAGTTTTGTGCCTAGGACAACCGCTACTGTAAAATTTATTTAATAACTTCAGCAAGTAGAATTTTCTTCACGGGGCGCCAAAGGAGAAGGGGTGAATTACTAATGTGCTAGATTTTAACAGTAAATGTTCAATATAATGGTTATTTAAACAGGGGAAAGATTCCTAAGTTATCGAAAATGCTACCAAAATGTTTTTGTCATATTTTCGGGTCATAAATGCTTACACATTTCCAACATTTTTAGGTCATTAACACCGGGACATTCATTATAAGCCCTGTGCCAAAGCCATCTTTAGGCCACTTGAAGGAGTTTTGCCTGCACCAAAATTAAATTCCCGCGTACGATGCTTACCTGTTACGACATCCGCACAGCAAGTACACGAAGCACACAATTTAGATGACGATGCCAATTGACCACTTTTTTCGCATGTCCGTAATAAAAGTTTTTAACTGGAATGATCGTGCTTTTGCATAATTTTAACGATATCGCGAAGACGAATAGGAACTCACTGGATATCTCCACACAAAATTGGTGTCGAATGACGGCGAAAAATAATCACGAGCACTTTTCGGAAGTTATTTTCGTTTTGGATCATTGCAATATCTATCAGGAACAACTAATACCAAACCCTGTAGTCAATTTGGAAGTAGGTAAATAGGATTCTAGATTTGTTTGTACTCTTTGTTTATACTTTCGTATTATGTATTCGAACGTTTCATAACATCTTTGAAATGAACAATCTTCTATCAGGATTGAATAAGTCAGGAAACATACGCGGTCGTGCATGTTGTTATACTGTAGCTGACATCACACTTGCATGTACCTTTTCGGCAATCACCTCGTCAACACGACGCACGGTACATACAAGATTAATAACCTCTAATCCCCAAAGAGTATATATCCCTTTAATGGCGCCATGCTGGACCGCTTGCGGTTTCGGAAAACATGCCTACATCTGAACACATATGCACTCTTGCGGTTATAAACTAAATTACATCGTGGCCCACGGCAGTCACCGCCCCAAGTATCGTAAAATATAACTACAAACGTTGTTCAAAACATCTCGACTCTGGTGGTGTGTGCAATATATCTCTCTGGGTGTGTGCGGCAACGAAAACCAAATGATGGAGCTGATATCTTCATTCACGAAGACAATCTTCATGGTCCAACAAGCAGGTCAGCTCACCACAGTAGAATCAAATAACACTAGTACCAGAATGTTTAACTATTTTATAACTAAGTTACTAGCAGAATCGTTGCAGACGCTTTAAATATACTGAAAATTCTATTAGACTAGTTGTTAATAAAAATAAAACTTTAAACTAGACACCGAACACCGAAATTAAAACGGTAAAGGTATTTATACCCTATAGAAAGATTTACCTCAATTACACCTTTATTCGGAATATCTTTAAAAATATCGGTATTCGACGTCACATACCGTTATTTTTTAGAGGTATTTTACCTTTATCCGAGTCTATTTAGGTAAAATTCCACTATAGGTATTATACAGATATTTTCATGAGAAAAAGGGTATTTCAGTAGAATTGTACCCATATTTTGGGGGAAATCTACCGCTGTGATTTCTACCTCTGAGGTGGCTCAGAGACACAACTAGGTCCGTAAAGTTAGCGTGGCAAAATGTTTTAGAAATCAACTTAAATTAATCTCAAAATGTTTGGTTGAAAAAATAAAATGTGTTGCTCTTCATTGAATCTCACTATACAGATTCTGGTAACTTAACATTAAGTTACCTCGATGTTAACTACAAGAAAAACAATATATAACACAGATAAATAAATTACTAAGAAATTGCTCCGTAGATTCCAAAAAAGAAATTTTGTTGCTCTTCTGCTAGTACCAGAAATGCGAAATTTCGCGAAGTTGGTATTATGAAAACCGACGATTACGAGCAGACAATATTTCATTGCACGTCGCCACCCCTGCGCCACGCTGCCTCGTGCCTGGGCAAAGGGGGCGCCCTCTTGCTTTCGGGGGGGGGGGGGGGGGNGGGGGGCGCGGAACGACGCCACAAAGGCAATGCGGTAGCAGCTCGCCAGCAAAATCCCCGAGGACAAAATTAAAACATGGTGGAGGGGCGACGAACAAAGAGCAGCAGTGCGTCGAGTCACGTAGGCACAACGCGCCCCCTAACACACTGAAGAACCAATTAAGGCCTATTCACAATGCACATGTAAACATAAGCATGGCATTGACATAAAAGTTAGGGCTTCATCCATAAGCGGACTCATTCACAAGCGTTCGCACAAGCATATCACGTAAGACAACTTAAAAGCTTGCAAGCTTCTGTGCTTATGCTAACGGAAGACATAAGAAATGAACCAATCACAGAACGGTAACTCAAAATCAAGAATCGAAATTGGAGCGAAGTCGATAGAAGAACTAACGCCATATGGGACATAGACACAGTCGATATCTTGAAACCGATTCTCACATCCTATAGAAACTCTTATTTCGCTTACGTTTGTTAGGCATTGTGAATACTTCAGTCTATCGCTTAAGTTAATGTTTATATCTATGTGCTATGCTTATGATTACGTTTGCATTGTGAATGGGCCTTTAGAGATTGGGAGATGTCACTTGCCCCCAATCAGCAACCTAGGATAATAGAAAGTTGGAGAAAAGACACCAATCACCACCGGAGGCAACGCTTTACGCACGTCGCGAAAGGGGTAGAGACGGCGGGGTGAAGAAAGCGCGGCTGGCAAAGAATCTTGGGTGAGGCGCGGGCGCGACGAGAACCTGCAGTGAAGAGCACTAGACGCACGGCACAGTGCAGTTTCTAATGAGGAGCGAAATTGGCACGACAAAACTGAAACTATTACTGTCAGACTAATATTTCCCCAGCCACTTGATTGGCGAGGGCGTGCACTTGGACGGTCGGGGCGGTCGGCCGTTTGACCTCCTGTGAATCGACAAGCGTCGCTTCGCAGCCGGACGCCGGCCTCCCAGGAGCGCACGCCTCTCCGCCAACGACGAGAAGTCAGCTCCAGCCGCCGAAGCCTACGTGCACACCATACAACATAACTAGCGCCAGCAACTTCAGACATTTATAATTTTTATTTTGTTGGTTCGTACTTACTTACGGGCTGCCGTGCCGTTCATCCGATTACGCTTAACCTTTGCCAACTTATAGCTTGCATGTGTGGGAATAATATAGGCAAAGTACGATGAGAATGTGCATATGCCTGCGCACGTGCACGCGCGTGGATGATTTTATTGAGCCAAGCGCCCCTGTTCGGGGTTTCGACGCAACCTGCACCACCCTGAAGTATTAAGTGTCTGTCCCTGCGATTGTGAAATAACGCCCGAGAGGCGCAGAGTTACAAAGCAGAAAGAGAGGTGGAGGGTATGACGTCTGCCAGGTTACGCTAGTTTTTCCTAAAATAGGCACGCAAATAAGGCATTTATTCTGGCTGAACTGTGGGTGTAAAACACAAGAAATAAGTAAAATCTGTTCAAACCAGAAATCTGCCATAATCGGAAAATGTCTCTAGCACGTGAAGTCATATATTTTCAAGTCAAGTATTTTTACAGAGCATAAAACGGAATCTGTCGAACGCGGAAATGGAAGGGTTTTTCATGTCTTACAGGGGAGGGGGGGGTCTTTATAAAACGGAATTCCTGTAAATTTAATGGGCTTAGCAGAGGCGGGCGATATTCTTAATGCAAGGAGTACATCTGCAAGTCCGTCTTAAATTCTTGATCCCTCGTTATTTAGTCGTGGCAACCTCACTGTGGAGGAGAGGGGCTTCAGCTGGCAGCGTAAATTCGACCCTGGGTCAGATAGCATATTGTCTCTCAAGAAGAAGGGACATTCCCTCCCCTCCAACTCCCTGAGCGTGTGAAAGTCATGACCGGCACGACTTCCATTCGCGCCTCTCCCTGCCCCACGTTCAAAATCGTAACCCCTCGGCCTGAGACGCACCGCTGTGACGCAGTGTGCGTTGAGCCAGCAATAAATCCGACTGCAGCCATTAGGCAGCGAGGTGGGGTGTATTTTTATGACTTACACAACCAGGTTAACAATGCGAAAACCATAAAACTGTAACATTAGTTGCAAAGATCAAACTTACGGAAGACACTCTGAAGCTGCCAATAAATGTTTATTAATCTATTGACTTCCTTAAATATGTAAATCTATTTTAATAATTATAAAATTATGGAGTTTTTATTTTACTTTAATTACTTCTTTACTTGCATTAATTTACTAGTTCAGAACGGAAATATCAATAGCACAAGTGTAAAGTGGAGAACCGTATATAAAACGAAAACCTCCCTAAACCGGAAATTTTGTTTGTCCCAATCGATTCAGGCTTCGATTTTACAGTATTGAAAAATCATTTTTTAAACTAATTATTGCAAAAATTAATATTTAAAGTGTTTCACATTTTTATTCCAACTAATATTTACATTACCACTTACACTACCTTCAACGAAATATCCCCTGCAACGTAATAAAATCTATTTTCAAGGGTAAATCAACTATAGATTTGGGCTTTTATCCCTCATCATGTCCTTTGTGAAGGAATAATACTTCCTGCCACCACATTGAGAACTAAGATTTGAATAACTATACTTCCCATTGAATTCTAGATCTGTACAGATAGTGAAGTTACATTTATGTTACCATCTCAGCATGTCCTTAATGGATGAAGGAAACTGGAGAAAGAACTGATCGAAATGGGGGTCATTGACCTAGAAGATGAGGTACAATATTTCTCACAGGTTGTTTGGAACTATATACACAATGCTCATTAATATGTTCAAAATCATTGTTAAAATTAATACTACTTTACTTTTTGATGCTCGGTGTAGTCTAATCTTATAGAAACTTATGCAACAAGAAAATATTTTATTTGGCACTGAAACTTGTTTATCATATTAAATTGCTTAAGGTTATGTAGCAAAGTGTTGTAAAATAATATGCATGTATTGTATGTAAACTTTTCATAGTGGGCTGTTGATACTGACACCTAATGAATACTATTCCACATTGAGTATTATAGTTATAGACATTGGTGTTTATTGAAAATATGTTCCCATTCTTGAATAAATCATTTTTGACAAATTGTTAATCAAGAGGGAAGGTAATGATAGAATTCCTAGTTTAATAAAGAAAGGCTTACAAGAATCACAAGGCTGGGACTATTAATTTGTTATGATGGAACCAATTTGAAGCATCTGATACTGTAATATTTATGGTTTATTTATTGCAAAGAATATTCTTGTCATCCAGAAAGAGATCTGCTCTTCCATTTCGAAACCTTCAAGAGCATAGAGCCTAAAATCGAACCCTGCGAAACATTTTGTGCACCTGGCAATGAATGGGAAGGTGGGTATATAATCTCTAGCCATCAGATGTCAAGGCACACTTACGTTTTAGGCACCTCATGTTTTACGATTTTAAATAGGTAAAAAAGAAGGCAATAAAAACTTAAAATTGGAGAGAAAAACCACTAATATATTTCATTGCACTTGCACCTAACATTAGCCCCTATTGAAAAAAATAAATCATGAAAGAATATTAATGAGTCATTAGCAAGGGAGCAACTTGGCCATCTTCACATGACTGAGCTCAGTTACTGCACTTAAAGAGGCACTCAGGTTCATTGTGCCAGTAACGTCTCTCTGGACTGATCTTATTAAAAACTCCTTTTATGTAGGTAGCTACCAGGTCACTGGCAAGGAGCTGCTGTGGAGAGATTTCCCTGGTAAACAATACTTCACGTGGTGCAAAACTCAAGCTTGGAGTAGAATGAAGACGCACCTCGTGCCCGGCAGAAATAAAGATCCTAAAAATTGGCCTACACTGCGCACTTCCCAGAAGAACATCTGCTACAAAAAAGTATCAATGTCGTGAGTCAGGTTCATCACCTTGCTCTCCGAGACTCAAGTGTTATGATTATGTCGTGATTCTGTGTTCGCCTACGCACACACTGCTCAACCAAGTTCCAAGAGCCCATTACTTGTGCATTTAATTTTATTGTGCGAAGAGCACAATCTCATGATAATGCAAGGTTTTCAGCTCCAAAAATTAAATGAGATGTGCAAATCCAAATGCTGCAGTCTAGAAATAAAAAATGAAGACTCTTTATCAGTAGATGATTATTGTGATTAGTAGAACTGAAAATGATTTGAACATGAATTGGTAACCATGACTAAAAAGAAATATACATAAATTTTAAGAAATAAAGCATTTAAAAAGAAAAATATCTAAAACAAAATTTACACCAATGAGGGAGAAGGGAAAGAAAAAAAAAGAAAGAAGAAGAAAAAAAAAAAAGACTTAACGAGGCATTTTATGTTTATCATATATTAAAATTTTCCATTGAAATGAAAAAAATAATTCACAACATTTAAGTGCTTGTACTATAGCAAAGGCATGTGCTCTGTTTAAATAGTCAGTACAGAGCCCATCAGTACTTTCTGGAAGTGCACTTTCTCAATTCTTTAGAACAAGTTTTTTCTCAAAAGCAATGGTAATGGGGCTCCAATCAGAAGACTCTCCGCACACCTCTCTTAAACGTTACACATTTTCATTTATTCAAGTCACAGGAATTTCAAGCAATTTTTATATATATTATATTATAAATATATCTCGTCGTTATTTATTCTTAAGTCTGTCGTTAAAAATGTAAAGTACAGTATCTGAAACTCCAAAAACTTGACATTTAAAAAACAAATGCATTTTCTCTAGTTATGTTTACATACGTACAAGTATTATATACATCATTAAGAACCTTAAAAAGAGTATGAAGTACACACTATTGAAAGCTATATCACAAATTTTCAGAGACCAACATTGATTTGAGATTTTATTTTATGTATCCATTCTTATCTGGCTCCACTTGGTGAGTTTTGTACTTCTGAATCCAAGGGTGAGACATCACATCAGGCAAAGACATCCGCTTTTGTGGAGTCAGTCTCAACAGCTGTTCAAATAAATAAATAAATACAATTAAATTACACAAATAAAAAGCAAGTTAATCAAATTAACAATCTAGGAACAGCAAAAAATCTTTCTATGCTTCTCTCACCTCCCGACAAACTCTGCACTACATTCAAATTAGAAACACTATGTACACACATGCATCATGCATTTGTGAAATGTCTTTTTCAATAGCCCTAAAAATGTCAAATTGGGACATACTATTGCAGTGGACTATTGTAGATGAATGGTTTCAGTGATTGATTGTTAGCAATTCCAGGCACGTCAACCACTAGGTTCATTAGTTTCGTAAGTGTTGTGCATGCTTGTGCTTGTGAAGTGGCAGTGGTATACGCTGGCTGTGTGGCGAGATCGGTGCTGACCTACCGTCTTCTAGCGGGATTGACCCTAACCACACATCTCCCACCAACGGGGCACCGCCCCAGCCAGGACAAGCTCTAAACTGCCGACCAGTCTCCCGGCATGCGGAAATGTAGTAAGCATGTCACAGGACAAAGAAGAGGTAGGAAAGATCGTGCACAGTCCGTGGCCTGTTTATAAGGATACTGCTCTGGCATTCGCTTGGCGTTGATAAAAGAAGAAGAAAAATAAAAAGGAGAAGAAAAGAAAGCGCTGAAAACAATCTATCAGAGCAGCCAACCACTAGAATTCTGCTACCATCGGGACTCAAACCCTAGGGCCTACGAATCAGAGGGATTGCAGGGACAGCAATTGATGTCGTAAGCCATCTCTCACGGTGTGGATGAATGATATTGCACAATTGTCAGTGAATGTGCTGTATGTTACCAAAATGATGTATACTACTTGGGGCATTACATATAAAAATGCATCAGCAGCTGTGTGATGTAGCCAGTTATATCTCATACAAAAATACAACAACTACAGTACGATTTATGTAGTCGTGCACTTGACGTAAATCAGATGTTGCGGGGAGTGTGTTGGGAGTGTGTATGTCGTTACAGTTACTTCACTATGGGGCATTCAAGCTCCCGATTGAATGAAACTGTGAACAGCTGTTTTACGTCAAGTGCACTGTTAAATAAATCCAGTCATATTATGATGTAGCCAGTAAGTATGTAATTAAAGATGTTGTCATTGCCAACAATGTTTTTTAATTCAATAGCAGCTTTCGATGGCTTAGCCATCGAAAGCTGCTATTGAATTAAAAAACATTGTTGGCAATGACAACATCTTTAATTATTTTAAAAATGCCAAAGATATCTTACCACAACACATATACAGTAAGTATGTACTGACTCTCATTGTATGCCCTAGACACAATTTGCATGCAAAGTGTTCATGGGATTTCTAGTGATTACTTCACATACAAGTGCCTTTGAGAGTGTATTATGGGGGTGAACAAGTTAGTTAGATCATTCTGTATTTTCTCTTTTGTGGTTTTGACTCGTGGTATTAGCTGTCATATGTAGTCATCAAATAGTTTAGGCAATAAGAATCATCTAAGTGTCCCTTCATATAAAGAAGAAGAAATAAAATTTCAGGTCGAAAACAACATGAAAAACTCTTTAACTCACTTGCTCACTCTACATATACAAGTACAGTGTAAATAAAAAATATACTTTTCCCCTAGTAAGATCTGTACAATACTTCATACATGTAAAGAAAATACAAAATAAAAGCAAGTTTTGGGTAGCCATTATTGAACTGTCAGTTTTCCAGTTTTACCATTAAAAAGATAAAATTAACCTACATTTGTTAACAAAAAAGTACCAAAAATAATACCATATGATGTATATAAGGGATGTCTAGTTTTATAATTGTCTCAAAACCTTTTTTCCGCGTTGTGAAGATTCTTCCATAAATTCCCCAAATTTTCTAGATCAATGAAATTCTCGTACTTTTTCCACAAAGGTGACACCCCATGAAATTACAATAATATTTCAGAATTCATAAACTATGTAGATAAATGAGGTAGTTTATCCTTAAATTTAACTCACCTTTGAGATTAAGTCCTTCCCACCTTCAGGTATCTTGGAAGGGAATTTGTACTCCATACTCACTATTCTCTTAAAAGTTTTATCCTGGGAGTCAGTCTCAAATGGTGTAAAACCAGTCAAGAATTCATAACACAATATACCCAAACACCAATTGTCCACGTAATTGGTATGTTCATTGCGCTTCACCATCTCTGGAGGCAAATAGTCTAGTGTTCCACACATCGTTTTTCGTCTGTAACAAATCAACAATGATAACCAATCATATCACAATCCTTTCCAGAATTCACTCCACACAAAAAAAGCAAAATTTTCTACACTAAAATTGGAAAACCCTATTCATAAATAACGAAAGAAATATTTTGCACAAGCTGGAAGAACTCAACCACTTCATTAACACTTTCGATCCTACAAACGTATCTAATATATCTTCTTGATTTCACTGCTGGGTCCTATGGGCGTATGTCATACATCCTTCTACATATATCATCTTTGATAAGCAATAAACATCTTTTGGACATTTGTAGGCATCTAAAATACACTTTTTAAATCATTAAAACAGTCACATGACAAACAACAAAAAAGCCAAATGCTGTTAGAGACATTCAGAGATGTTTAGAGGATATAGATAAAAAATTCACGCTCTCAACATTAGAAAAGAGTTTTTGGATTAATGGATCGGAACTGGAATCTTCAGATGAGGGCGTTGATTTTATTCCTGAACTGTTGTCTAGTTTGAGCAATGAAAATTACATCAAGGAGAGTTATAATTATGCAAATAATTCTATTGAAGAGTCTATTCAAATTCATGCAATATACGTATGCAGATGCAATGGAAAAATATCTGAAATTCACCAAAATATAATTATAGCGCACCAGTAGTGTTGACACACGAAGTTCACTGTGTTTCTGCCATATTTTATGACATTGTTACTTTCCAAAAAAATATATTAACATGTTTTCATTGAATTCCATTCTCACTACTGCCTTATAATCAAATGAACATAAAATACACACACTTAACAAGAAAAGACAATACTACACGATTTTATCAATTTCCAACTGAAGTGTTTGATGGTTTTTATTTTACGCTTTGAATAGCAGCTCCCAGGGCACAGAAGTTAACCCTCAGGATCAAGCGTGTTGAAGTAGAGAATGGTTTGAAGCCCTTAAATGCTTTGAATTAACCATGTAGCAAAGTAGTTGAATATTAGTATTTAACCCGAGAACACCCTGACGCATCAATCCAATTCCTGGTGCTCTTTGTGTCCTTGTTACTGTATTTTTTGTAGGTAGGAATTTATGATTTTAAAATGATTCCACCATTGACATTTATTAAGTAAAAATTATTACATACGTACATTTATTACATATGTTAAAAACTGAAGGGTGAAAAAAATGTATTAGTTTGTGTGAATGAAATGTCTATGAAATGTGTGTTGATATAGACTATAGCTATAGACTATACGCTGCCACCAAATGGTGTTGCTGCTTCCTACAGGCAGCGCATTGCAGCAACATAGGTACCGGCTTGTCAGTAAGCTACAAGGTTTGGATGAGACAACATTGAAACAGACAAGTATGGGCAACGGTGGACAGTGGTGCTTCTCTGAAGGGAAGAGGAGACTGCTTCTGACATCTACAAAAGGTTTGTAGCCACATGTGGGGAGTCATCAAAACACAGATTCGTGTTCTGTTGGGCATCAGAGTTCAAATATGACAAGGACTGAGCTGAAAATGCACAAGCACTGGACATCCAGCAACTGCTCATCACATCAATGTCATTATGGACTAGGGTGATGGAGGATTTTGATAACCTAAAACATTGTCAACAATGATCAATAAAATGCTCTTAAAATGTTTTAAAAATACCCTACAAGCAAAGAAAAATTATGTAAAATATTGATTAAATGAGATCAGTTCAGATGAGCAATTCAAACTTGAGGTCTCGTCTTTTGTTCAAGTGAACTTTTGGTTCGAACCATTCCTTTGCCACGAAATACGTGTCCCAGAATCAGCCAAACCAACAAAGGTGCAGATAGACATCACAAGTACCTTAGATTATATACAGCGGCAACATTGTAATTTGAGTAAATAAATCAAATAGGTTACCAAATAATTCGTAAAGAAGATTTGTTGCATCCTGTAAATATTAATTGTAGCAGGTACCATTGATATGATATTAAAATCAATTACATCACTAAAAAATGCTTTAAAAACGACTTGGTAGAAATCGATGAAAACTACAAAGCCATGGGCAAATAGGTAATTTACTTTTGTCATAATGTAGTAACGTGAAAAGGAAAAAAATGTAATTTCATTCAAATCATCCCTGTAATAAAGACGAACAGGCAAACCACCTTTGATGAATCAGAGGAAGCAACAGGTATACCACAAAATTATCCTCTCGGACATCCAGGAGGATTTGAAGATTAAGAAAGTGTATTCACAATGAGTGTCCCATTCCATCGTCATTGCATAGAAACAAAAGCAAGTGGAAATGTACCAACAGTTGGTAAAACAGATCTGTGCACATCATCAACAAGTCATGGTTCTTCCACAAGACCAACTTCCACAAACTTCATACAGTTGTCCGACATTGGCACCGACATACCCCTAAAGAATAGCTTTTTATGCAAATACAGAAGCTGCCAAAAAGTTTGCAAAAGAGCATAGATATTGGCTCGGACCACCTGCAATATAATCCATAATGGTTTTTTCAGTAAATTGATACCTGTGAACACAAAATAATTGTTTTGCCAATCACTACTGAATGCTCCAAGTACATAAAATAAATGAATTTATTTGCATTATATGAAGTGCCAAAGCTGAAGGGTAATCTGGGAGCCTTAGAATACCCAAATTATATTTCAACAAACTGTTGTAATGTTTACCATTAATTCAATTTTTTCTTTCTTTTGAAACGGTAAAGAAAATCAAATATTTTTGACTCCGTTTCCCCTTCTTACACACTGGCTGAGCAAGGAGCCTGCCTGTGGACAGACACTGGCTGGCTCTGTCGCGCATTCGCACAACAGGTTACATGCTATTTCCTTCTTCCTCACACTCGCTGGACACAGCGCCCTGACTCCCAGCATCCACTCAATCTCTGTGCGCATGATCTTCATGAAACCCCACCCACTACGGACCACTCCCATACCTTACAAGGAGTTGACGATCTCGAAATGCAGTTTTCGCTCAACAATGCAAACTCATGAGGCAAGTGAAAAGTGCTGGAGATAGTAGTAATACGCCATGTCAGATATGAAGAGGCAATTGAAATCTGTGTTAAAGCACACATGACCATGGATGAACTTTCAGTATCACAAAATTGATTCCTTTAAAATTATTGATACAGTAAAGACTCAGTTGGAATATTGATTTCAAGATTTTGAAAACTCTATTTTATTGAATTTCTTGACAAAACGCAGTGTTCCACCTACTAAGTGCCCTTTTGTTCAGAAACATTTTCTTTCCTAGGTTATATCCATTGTTCGACAGAGAGCAGCTTCAAAATGTATGTATTACAAATGTATTAATTAAATATTGCAAAATTCATGCCTGCAGATTTATTGCTGAAAGCTTTCTTGGACAAGTTGGCCTAGAAAAAAAAAAGGGACTGTTCCGTTGATACAACTCAGCCTAACTTACCCTGTTATTGTGTGAGAAAGCATTGTGTGAAAGGAATATGATTATATTAATGGAATTAAGCCATTCCTGAGAAATTCCATAGGAAATACTAGGATCAGTACTTTCAGTATACTGGCTATTGAGACGTGTGTACTAAATTAACATTGCAGAAATGACATCTTTAAAGAACTAATTTTCGATGCTTTTTCTGAATAAAAACAAAACAAAATGAATGGACCTAGTTCACAAAATAAGCAAGGATACAAGAGACAAAATTCCATTCTCCCAGATGTCTCTTATAAAGGGATTAGCTGAACAATGTAGCAATATCAGAACATGAACTCTGTTATGCTTATAGTAGCTGCCTTCTTAACAGTAAGTGCATAGAGGCACGGCATCCATTTGTAGCCCCACATGCATGCATGCTCCACATTTGAGGCACAGGTTGGTAACCCTGATGAGAAACCTTTAGCACAAGCTAATACATACCTATTTGAAGGGGCATGAACAGACCAACCAAAGTCGGCAAGTTTCACATCACCAACTACATTAACAAGCAGATTTTCAGGTTTTAAATCACGATGGATGACACTATTTAAGTGGCAATAATGCAAAGCATCAGCAACTTGGTAAATAAATTTGGCAGCTCTGGAAAAAGAATAAAATTCTTGTATAAAAACAAGCACAGAAGGGAAAATTTAAAACATTTAAGAAATTAACTTTCAGACACATACTTTGGTCACTAGTTTTTGCTCATACCAATCTTAATGATTATCAACAATAGTACCAATTTCTGCCAAAAAAGGAAAATATGAAACAAATGTCAACTGATAACCATATCTGGGAGCAGGGTGGCCAGCAATCTGGATTTTGAAGTTTTTCCTCTGGTTTCCTAGGTTTTGTTTAGCAGATTACAAAACATTTTTTCTGGTCATAACTTTAACATACCAAGTTACTCTACACATTTTGTACAAAAATTAAGCTTTAAAGAAAACGCACATTTTTCTCTTTTTTCTACAAAACGAGTACCTAACTAAAATATTCAGACTCCACTTGAAATGTTTAAGACATTTTTTTTTTTCAGCAGGAAAATTGGTATCAATCAATACAAACTCTGGTTTCTTACATTGGTTTCCAAAATGGTCATTCCTACTATAAACGATAATTTTCAACACACAAGTAGTAATATTTTTCCAAAATGAATATTCTGTTATTGACACTGTTCATTTTGAGACATCATGAATTTTTAATGTGATTTTTATTTTGAGGCAAAGGTTTGCTTAATGACAGTAAGATTTCAATAACACTTAAACTTTCAGAATTAATAAAACTTCTAATTTTCTTGAAACATCCCAGACACCTTAATTTTCCAGTTCTAACTTCTCCCTTGACTGGCTCATTGCATCACCCAGACACACGGAAGATGCATCACCACTGTACAGTGTAGGCAATGATGCTGAGGCAGCTTGACTTTCAAGTTAATCTACACCTCTTAAGAATATTCGTAATGAGGGTTACTAAGCTAAATCTATGAAACAGACTTTTTCAAATTCTCTATTGGTTTTTCGGTATTCAAGGATTCTAGATTTGCCGGCCACCCTTTGGATTATTGTGGAAAATACAGGGAGAAAAACATCTCCAACACACAGAGAGAAAAACATCTTCAATAACCTTTCTAAATTGATTTTTACAGAAACTGCAAAGAACATACGTGGGTTCACAGAAGGTGTTGGCTCTACGCAGGTGTCCAAAAAGCTCTCCCAGAGCTGCATACTCCAAAATCAGATAAATTTTTCTGCTATCGTGGAAGAATGTGTAAAATTGCAAAATGTTGGGATGCCTGAAATTATAAAAATAAACAATTTCATAATCAGTCAATAAAATTTAAATCAACAGCATTTAACTTCAATCTACTTGATCAAACTTCCATGAAAACCATATTAGCACAGATTAGCATAAAATGAAAACAGAGGCTCAAGTTTACTTAGGCATGGTCACTTTCATCACACAAGAAAAGCATGTCAATTTTGCTGAAAATTTTTTTTTAAAACAAAAGTGCTTCAATGTTTTGTCATTTCCAGACCAGAAATGTTTTTGTAACCTTTACTTTTAATTTAAGAAATCAGCCAAACGCGAAAAACAACATGAAGCACTTTTGTTCAAAAAAGTTTTTCCACCAAAATTGACATGCTTTTCTTGTGTGGTGAAAGTGACCATGCTTAAGTAAATTATATATATATAATTTTTTTATATAACAAAACTGAAGTGTCTTCTATTGTTACTCTTGAAAAAACCCAGAGATAGAATAATCATTTGCAAAATATAGTTCTACACATACAAGTCAAGGTCATTTTAAGATAGTGACATGAACAAAGAGATAAAACGCACAATTTCAAATGTTTATAACACTTGTTGATTAGTACCAGATACTGAATAACAGAGGAGGCTCAATTCAATCTCATTAAGTAGGATGTTACTTAAAAGAAACAGTAAACTCAAATTTTGTTCAAGTCTTTTAAATACCACAAAATGTGCAACATAGAATAGGCTGTTTTACTTTCCATACAAGAGACAATAGAATATAAACACAATTGTGTAAATGTACTTGCGACTTCAATAACCACCAAGTTTTACATACAAAAATAAAACCATACCGTAATTTGCTTTGTATTTCAATTTCGCGAAGCACCTGGCACTCCACATTTGATCTGGAGATTTCGGACTTCATCAGCACTTTAATTGCTACCTTGTAATGTGTACGTTTCTCTCGCGCCAAGAACACGCGCCCGAACTTTCCTCGCCCGAGAGCAGATCCAATTTCGAAATCGTTCAAGCCCCATTCATACCTGAAACGAAGACGGGGGCCGTGTAATCAAACACATCAATAAACATGACAGGAGCGCGTATGTGAAAAACATACCTTCCATGTTTTTTTTGATAAACTATAAGCTCATCCATCTTCGTTGCCATCTCTACAACGTACGCCACATCTTCTTCACTTAATCCGGTAAGATCCAAATCTTCACTCATTTCTATTGCAAATAAGTGGCAAGAAGTCCTGCGATTCACCACAAGTGGATATTAAATCCCAAGATCTGTAGCAGCGGTCAAGACATACAGACGGGACACACACAATAGGCAACTCTAGCAACTTGTTCTGTTATATTTGAAATTAAACGAGGCTTGACTTTGCCTCATGTTGCCAACATTCCCACATAGTGCTTAGTTTTTTAACAATACCGCTTGAGGCGCTAGTGAAGGACTCTCGGATGCAGAGAGTTCGGATATCCAGAATGACGACACAACTTTTGGCGGGAAAGTGTTGGGTAACACGAATGCACATAAGGGTTTCATGCACATAGTGACACAACCCACACCCTCTACGGATAAAAACGTGTTTTTTGTTTTAATTTTTTTAATCAAAATTGAGGAAGTCAAAATCAAAAAAAATATATACGTCATCTCAACAAAAAATATGCGATGGATGCAGGAAAGAAATGAAATTGAAGATTGATGGTATTACCAGTTTGTCCCTTTCTTTAGCTCCAATTATTTTATCGCTTTTCGAGAAAGGCACATACTGTTTAACCATCTTCACACTTCACCTCCTCAATTTCTACTGACGAAATTACTTTTCCCTTTCTTCCTCTGCCCTTCTCAACAAAATCCAGCACGCCTTTATTTTTTCCGCGAAACAGTCCAAAAGTGAACGAGAGAAATTCCAGAAATCCCTTCACTGTTCGGTGAGCTCGCGCACCTCCAACAAAAAACGAGGAAATGCCACAAATACGGATGCCTGTTTTCCGCTTTCAGGACTTACTGATAAAATATATTATATATTTGTGTCCATTTCCCTGTTGAACAGATTCCTCATTATAGAGTGAAGTACTATGTACTATATGTCGAATTTACTCCCAATTTACTCCGTCGGATTCTATTCACATTGGACAGTTTTTCGCACATGTTTCGCATGCACGTTATATATATATATATATATATATATATATATATATATATATATCGGTGTATGTGCGTGCGTGTGTGTGTGTGTGTGTGTGGTGTGTGTGTGTTTTCAGATGCTGTTACTAGAATAATGCCTGGGAAAAATATTATGTAACGTTGAGAATTTCGGGAAGAAAATATTAAAAATGTCATCTCGTGGCTCAAGAACGAAATCGCTCGCCTTTCACGAAGGAAGTGAAATTTGTCCCAACAAAACGAGTTTGGCTGCTTTCAAGGATTAGTCTAACCCCTGTGGAGTGTCTTAAACTCTACCCCTATCGCAGTCTCCTCATCTCGATCAAGTTTTTGTCCACTTTCCCTGATCCATTGAGCACATGCTGAAATGACCCTTTGTTTTGCTTCTGGACGTAAATGTAGCTTCACTATGCGCACGTTTTGTTGAACTCTCCTTTTGCTTGTAATGGTAGGAATAGAGGTAAGGGCGAGTTACTATTTTGTAAGCATTGCAGAAAAATCATATTTGCTATTCGTTTACCGATGCAAATAAGTTTTCTATAACTGGGACACGAAAATGCCTATTTTTTCGAATATTGCTAATCTTGCCCTTTTATAAATTTTATTTTTATTTATTTACTTATCTTTTAAGTTTTACTCATCTTTCAACTATTTATAGTTGAAACGACGGAAAGGGATTCTGGGACTCAAGAAAACGTGCGCAGATAATCTTCTCCCCCATACAGTTTTTACTGTTTCTTGACTAAATAAATCTAAAATCTAAATCTAAAAACCTAATTCGTTTCTAATTCTGGCCGCTCGGTAGTGACGCAGAAGCGCGTGGGAGGAGGCGCGTACGCGGAGACAACTGACTGCGACGAGACGGGACGGATATGACATATTAATGGAGGATTACTCCTAAAGCGCAATGCGCTCTACATCCTTCAAGGAGCTTGGAGACGATCTGCGTCTATGTAGGTGCAACAAATTAAAAATAAAAGAACAGAAGAGACTAATTCTTGCGAATTTAAATAAAATATTTACAGATTTTCAATCTCCACAACTAGATATGAAAATTGGCCCTTTAAAGTTTGTATCTCTTCGGCGAAAACTCTGCATTTTTGCTGGTTTAAGTGAAACAAACACTGTGCTCTATATCAGAACGTAAAGCTTATTCCCGATGCTCTTAAGTTACCAACATTATTACAATATTGTAAGAGTTAAATGTGTCAGACAACAAACATGCTGATGTGCATATTACACAATCCACCCAAAACTTTTGCTTTTTTGGTCAGTGCTCTGGATGAACCAGGATTTCGACGATTAAAAATATTTTGGAATAAACAATGGAAGAAAATTTCTTCGAAACAATTTCGTTCAACCAGCGGGTGAGAACTGGCTGATCAAATTTAAAGGCAATCGTGAGGTCCAAAGAATAGTTTATTGATTGTTTAATGGCGAAACTTTGTGAATTGTCGACACATTCATTCATCTCTTCAGAACAAAATAAATACCTACAATATACAATATGTTAAAATATAGCTTCATCCTGGAGAATGCGTAGCTTTGTGCGATGTTTCTGAAAACCCCCTTTATTTTAAAAAAAGATGAAGTGCAAGGATTTTATAGGAATAATGCTCACGCCACGCTGTATCATTTTGCTGACTAATTTAGATTAACTTGTTCGAATGAATTGTTCACTGACAACTTAATTATTGTTTGACTGATTGTTACAAGAATCAGTTTCTGGGGCATCTTTTCCAGAGATTACTGATTAACTTGGACCTACAATAGTTACTTTTGTAACAAGGCCATTATGAGGATCTGAGCGGCGACAAAATGCCTTGCTTATTTTTTATATATTTTTATTGATTCAGATTTACTTATTTACAAATTAACTAGATGTTAACTTGACTTGTATTTTTATATTTCCCTCTATAAGAGAGCATATAGCATCATTGAACTGTTTTCATGTCGCTGCCTTCTTCAGGGCTGTAGGGCGCCAGTCGGTCGCTACGCAGCACAGTTCCCTATGGCCGCGAGTGCAATGCTGACACCTCCCCTATCCTTTCGGACATCTATGGCTGATCTGTAATATACAAAATGAACAACGCCAGGAAAGACAATAGCCGTTCGGCGCGCTTTTGGCCTACCTCAGGGGATTGGACGGCATGGGGCGGTCCGGGCGGCGTCCCGCGCCCCGTTAATGATGCGAGGCTGTTGGGCTTCTTTGATCCGTCTCTTCGAAAAGGAAGTCGTGGCCAGTTTACCACGAGCTACGACGGTGCGATTTTCATTTTTGAATTTGAAGTCCTGAATGTGCTCGCGTGTCTTTCCTGTACGGTCCTTCACATTTCCCCGATGTGTACGATTGGCAGCTGCAAGGGATATAATATACTCCGGCGGCTCGGAGTCGTGGAAGCTGGACTTTGTCGATTGTTCTCGGCGACGTGTGCTTCCATAGACGCAGGCGGGTCGTGAGTGAGTTGATTCGCTTTGAGCGGGGCGCTGGCCTGGCAAGTGTTTTCAGGATGCTACTGCTTGTCGCTGGGCGGCGGTGCGATTCGGCACCCAGGTGACTAATCGTTGTTGTACAAGACATTCGTTAGACCTTCAGTACAACAGTATTATTTGGAAACACTTATAACAGATCATACTTTGTTCAGCACATGTTTGCGAGAATTATGCATGTATTCCCATGACTATCTGATTACAGGGTTAATCTTGAGAGGATGTGCTTGGCAACCTTAGGCGAAAGAAGGCAGATTGCTTGTCCTTATATTATACAAGCACGTTTCTTGTGTCCCGGAATACCTACCCCCACTTCTTTACAAACAGTTGAATTAAGAATAATCGATAGCAACGATTGTAGTAGACCAAATCTGATAACCATAAATGTTCGCTACCGTGTAATAGAATTTATTATGCAATTATTTTGCATTGTAAACAGCTACATATTTTTGATGTAATATTCCTGTCGTCAAAATAACTAATCCCCTCTCGTCTCGCATCTGGCGAAACGAGGGCTCAAGAAAACGTGCGCGGATAATTCAAGCTAATCCGTAATGAGAACAACTGCCCTGAAATTCTGTCTTCCATCTCCTACAGGGCTCGCTATGGGCATACAGTACCGGCAGCGTGTGACTGTCAGTTCTCTCGTCGCGTGGTAGTGAGTCAGGAGCGTGCTCTAGAGCAATCGGCTTGCGAGGATTTTTACACTTACTCACAGCCAGCCTTTAGCTTTGCTGTTCATCTGACTCACACGAAGTTCCGGAGGCGATAAGGTTCGGCTTTGGCGAAAGTTATGAACATCAAGCCGTGTCGTCGCCTGTCAGTAAGAGTTAATGTTTCGAAATTCAATATCTGTGCTGTAGGTGGTGCCATGTGCACAGTAGTGTGTGGCAACAGCGCAGTGAGCCGCTTATTCGCTGCCGATACTGTAGGGTTGGTGAAAATACCTTTAACCACGTCCTTTGAAGTGCTAATATTCATCTTCGTGATGTTAACATATTTACAATCTCCAATACTCAGTTGAGGAATAGAGCTGAAGCTAGCTATGATGAAATGCACGAGCCTCTCACATTTTCTCATAAATTTGCATACATTTTTCTTTCTCGCTACGGAGGAGAGAAAAAGTTACGTAATGCTGCGCGAAAAAACGGCGAATTTTTGTCAGAAAACCTTTTTATTACAGGGCCCTGATAACGGTTGATTGATTGTTAGATTCCGGGCACGTCAACTGCCAAGGTAATTAATTTTGTAAGTGTAGTGCGTGTATTTTCATCGGGAGATGGCTGTGATCACCGCCCCGGCAGGTGTGATGGTGCAGTGCATGCAAGTGTAAGGAAGGGGAGGAAAGATCACGCGCGGCGCGGCGCCCGTTTAAGGTACTACTGCTCCGTCATTCGCCTGGTATTTATGGGAGAAACCACGGAAAACCACAGATAAGAGCAGTAGGGTGCTAGAAATCTCCTGCAGACAGCAACTGAATTCGACCTAGCTGACAAGCTAGCCGAAAACACTGCAACCGTCGGGACTCGAACCTAGCACCTCTTGGTCGGAGGCACTGCAGTGACATCAGTTCATGGCGAGCCGTCTCTCCTGGACCTGGTAACGAGAAAGGGAAAAAATCCTCCAGTACTTGTAGCCAGAATCCATGGTTTGTGGATCCTTGATACCGTAAAATTGAATGACTGCAAAACATCTGCCAGTCAGTGAACAACTTCCATATTGATCTGACTTATATCGCGGCCCCTAAAACTAGAAAAAGGCTACATTGACTTTGATTAAATTTTGTTGTTGATATTGTAAAGGACGTTTAACAGAATTGTGTAAATTTCATGTTTGTTGAAAACCCTAACTTTTCGAAATTTGCAAAAGTTTCTTTATTAAAAATTAATAGATATTTTAATTTTTTTCTCCATTGTCTTCCTACAACTATTATATTATAGAAATTTTTCTCTTCTGTTCCTTTAAGATCAATTTTGAAATAAGGTCATGTACAATTTTTCGATAATTTGAGTGTAATGAATGTTGCGTGAGAGTACAGGGGTACAAAGTATATGCTGTTTTAGCACTACTTAATACTTTGCATAAATTTTATATTTCTCATGCATATATATTTTTGTTATATTATTTTGATTCTCACGCTTTTCTCTTTTTAATTTTTTGTAACGTATGTTACAATTTCTTTTATTGTATTATTCATTGTTGTGCTAAAGATAAAAAAGGTATATCCTGTAAATAAAATATTATAATTATAATATAAAGATCATGATTTGATCAATACTTCACACATTCCTAATATTCCTTGCAAGTGCAATGAAATTTAAAAAATTTATACTTGTTTGAAATTCACCACAATTTGTTTGAAGAATGTGTGTGGTTTTCACAAGCAGTTACTGTTAAAAATGTTACTTTTCGCGATTTTGCCAGAAGGTGCAGCAGTAAGTTGAGTGAACCATATGGAAAGCAACAGAGAACATTTATTACCGTTTTGTCTTTTCTTAAAACTACTTTGTTAAGCATAATTTTTGGATTCACTACTTCAGTATTACTTTTGGACATTTCGAAAAAATATTTTCTATAAAAATATCATGTCCCACTTCAATTCTAAAAATAGTCATAGAGAGTCCTGCAGGTCAACCTCCAACATTGAGACGCTTCAATGTATTTTGCACGTACACCTAAAATATGGAATAATATTATGAAGAAACGCCCCTGAAAGCAACCGCACGCTTATTACCCAAGAAAAGAATACTGCGAACAATGACCCTCGCTCATAAGCTGGAGCCTTGCAAACCCTTGTTCAATAAACTAAGGATTCTTCCTCTACCATGCATGTGTACATTTGATATAGCCACAGGTCTTGACAAAGATTCTCATTCAACAGAGATTCTATGTAGCAATAATTTTCACTTAAAAGAACTTACGAAATTGGTAATCTCATTTTCTTGCCATAAGGAACTAAATCTGCTTGATGTGATCACTATGCTACATTGCATTTTCTAGTAACCCTATAGATGTATTTGTATATGAACGGTACATTTTTTAAGGTTAATCCGAACCGGGGGTTCTACTGTTTTGTAATTCAGCTGTAAGATTAATAAGACCAACTCGATCAGAGTTTTTGTCGTTTCCCTTCATCCTTTGAACCAATGCTGTGAAGGACCCCTTGTGTTGTTTTGTGGACAGAAAATCTAACTTCACTATGCCCAAGTCTTCACGAGTTGCCTTTTGTAAGACATGATAGGAACGAAAGGTTAATTATTTGGTAGCAGTGTATTCAAAATCAAAATTGAACGTCGCTTGCAGCTCATTCCCATAGAGTTAAAAGTTTCTTATTTTTTTGCATTAAAATGCTACCTTTACCTTCACTCATAGTAGTGTGAAGTAAGAGAAGAGAAATCTGGAGTTCAGAAAAACATGTGCACCCACATCATATTTGAGTTGTTATACATGATTGAAATTGTTTATGTGGCTCAATAAATTATAATAATTATTATTAATATTATTACTACCATCATCATCAACATACAAAGTTACAAGAACAGTGTGAAATTTAGCATACAAACATGCACAATTATAATATAATATAATTATTATATGATGACACAGACTGTTCATTGGATAACGAGCCTTCAATAGCAGAACATTTGAGTGTACATGTGAAACATCAAATGAAGGAACTAAGATGTGCTATAGGCATTTGGAAACCAATAGAGAATATTCAACAGTTTTGGTAAATACGAAAGTAAAACACCAACAACAAACGATACAAATTAAATATTTTATTTCCATCTAATAAATTTCTATTTAAATATACCTAAGAATACTAATTTAACTTATTTAAATCATGTTAATAAATACTAAAAAGTCTGAATTAATTTATAGCAAAGTTGAAAGCAAATTAAGAGGTTAGTTAACACTGTTGGTTAAAAATGTTCATTCAATTCTCCATTAAATATTACAAGCGAGGCTTTTTTCCATGCCCTTCAATGGAAATGGAACATAACACTGGAGTATCCATTGCATCACTAACAGCATTCCGTTTCCTCATTGGTGACAACGGAGATCTCTGCTTCAGTGTTTCCATGTCATTAAAAACTATTTGAGCACCTCCTGATGTTGTAGGAAATACATCAGCCTGAAAAAATAAAGTCTCACATTAAACAAGTCTCCTTAACTCGCATATTTACTTTTCGTGAACTATACGCAGCACAGAGAAAAATTATTGGATTCCATTAAAAAAAAAAAAAAATTGACGTTGAGATTTAGTGATCTAATCCATTTTGAGGACCCCCGAGATTAGAGTTTTGTACTGCCCTACCCAAAAGAAGGGGGAAGAAGAAGAAGAAGAAGAAGAAGGGGGAAGAAGAAGAAGAAGAAGAAGGGGGAAGAAGAAGAAGAAGAAGAAGAAGAAGGGAAAAAAGAAGAAGAAGGGAGGGAAGAAGAAGAAGAAAGAGGAAGAAGAAAAAGATAAGAAAAGAGGAAAGAAAGACAGAAGAAGACGAAGAAGAAGAAGCAGAGAAAAGAAAAAGAAAGGAAGAAAAAGAAGAGGAAAGAAAGAAAAGGGGGAGAAGAAAGGAAAAGAAGAAAAGAAGGGGGGAGGAATAAAAGAGAAGAAGAAGAAAAGGGAGGAAGAAAAGAAGAAGAAGAAAGAAGAAGGGGGAGGAAGAAGAAGAAAAAGAAAAGGGCGGAGAAGAAGAAGAAGAAGAGGGAAGGAAGAAGAAGAAGAACGGGGAGGAAGAACAGAAGAAGATAAAGAAGGGGAGAAGAAGAAGAAGAAGAAGGGGGCAGGAAGAAAAGG